AAACTTCATACTGAACCTCAACCGCTTTATCTTCCCAGATCTTGAGAACTGTATTCTATGGCATATAGTCATGATTCTTCATTCATCAACATGATTTTGTAAGAGATAAGTAGTGAACATATTACCGACTATCTAATTTCAAAATTAGTAAAACATTTTGACAGAGTTTTTCATGATAGTTTAAGAATATGGTACTATTATAATTTTTTATTTCCCTCGAGCAGTATTTGAACCAAGGACTTCCTTCTCACATGCCAAGCGAGTGCTCAACCAAATGAACTATAAAGAGTTAACCCATTAGCAATTGCTAATAATGTATTTTTAAACAATTCAAGCTACTACAATCTTCTCTCCTCACAAACAAGGCCTAGTGTCAGCATTTTGAGAAGTCACTAGTTATTGGAACTGAGGATAAGCAGCAATGTAAGATTCAAGTTAGAGGGTTTGGTGATTGTTAAACAGAAGCCAATTTTAAATTGAAATAACTTAGACTAATCTTTAACAGATTTTTTGATTTTGTTCCTCAATTCGAAAGCTATTGTGCAACCTTTGTGATTGATTTGATTTAGTAATCATTTATCATCATAATTACTGTCTTTCTGTCTATTACTTCTTTCAATACATGCCTATTCTTCATTTTTGACTTTTGTGAGAAACTATAATTCCATTTCTCAACTATGTGAGAGTTATCTTTCACATTGTTTGTCAGTTCTGTCAACTCAAGTTTTTGTGGCTTTATCCTCCCGAGGTTCTAGCTCTGTTCATGAATGAGACTACACTAGAATGAGACTAGTTAATATCCTCTATTATGGTTGTTTACAGAACTTGAGAAACCATAAAATGTCATGTCTTTAATCTCTTTACAATTTCTATTGTATTTATGGGTGCTGGAGGTTCTTTGTTTGGGAAAAATGTTACTGACCCCTTTTCACATACAACCATTCCTCACTCAGGTTCTCACCCACTGTTTCTCTTCCTACTCTTCAGCTCTTTCCCCATTATTTTTCCTCCACTTCCTGATCCTCAGCACCTTCACTGTCTCGAGGACACAGTGTCGGGACTCTTGATTTTGAATGGCACAAAGAGAGTCACTAGTCTTTCACAAGGTTACTATTTACACCCCTTCATTGTCCCCATAAGTACTGATGACTGACATACTTCTTCTCTGAACCACTTTTCATGATCCTCCAATTTCAGCCAGTGTTTTTCATGATAGTTTAAAAGTATGGTACTCTTATTTTTGCTAAACAAAAGCCAATTTTAATTTGACATAACTTAGACTAATTTTATTCCACCCTAATAACAGTATTACTTATTCAGTTGGGGAAAATTAGTTGATGGTATAGAAAAATAGTGTAGCATATGCAATTCATTTTTCAATGTGAGATTTATAGTTTTATTTACTTTGATACTATGCTTTTAATTTTGTTTGTTCCAGGTATGGATGCAAATAATAATAACTATATTTAAAGCACTTGTTCGAAAATTAAGAGCTTTTTAAGTATTTTATTTCTTGTTTTTCATGTTTATTCTTTATGTCTAATTATAAAAGTAATTAAAATGTAAAAATAGGGATCCTTTTAGGTTCGTTAAGATTAGATTAGGTAAAATAAATGATAATATTATAATAAAAATGTTTCAGGAGGCACACCTGCGAGCAGCTCGTGGTTAATGTAATTCATTAGCATAATGTGAGCTGCACATTCCCTGAGTAATTTATAATAGTGCAGATAGTAGTTAGACACAGTTCAAAGGGCGATAAAACAATAAAATATAATTATAAATAGATGTATACTGTTACAAACTTACCGCTACTTAGGATAAACGAATGTTGTTTCATGTTACAATTTGAAGTAATTCTAGAAAGAATAAAAAAGAGTAATTTAGATTTATTTTGATTTTTTTTTGGTGGTTGAGAGGTCAAATTAACCGATTCTGTTTTGAGATAGGGTAGAGAAAATAACAGATAAACTATAAAGTTTTACTGAAAAAATGTTTGAAATGTATTTTAGAGGTTTTAGGGATTACACAAAGCAAATTTGAAATAAGGAAAAGT